AATCTACTATATATATAAAAGCCCATGAGAAATCAATGCAACAATTTCATTCCAATTTTCCCTCCATTTTTTTCAATCCAATGGCAGAAACAGTTTTGGTAAACATGGCACAAATCCATAAAATATGGCCCTACACTTTAATACAATCACAAGAGGCCGAACAGAATGGGGTCAAGGCCCATCAACTTTAGTAATATAGCTGTACAAAATGCTGATAAAGTTTTTCTCTTCCACAGAATTGCATGAAGGTCCAGTTTTCCTCTTCCACAGAATGGCATCAAGGTGTTCTTGAGTTCGGATTAAATTCAATGGTTCCACTTCATCCCCACAAATTCAGTGTTCTTGAGTCTCGGATGTGGTCACCAAAAAAACCATAATTTTTCATTCAATTTAAACAAATACCACAAATTATAAATTGCTATATAATTTCTATAACAAAAACTAAAAATTATTGTGAGGCTCAAAAGATATGATTGCCATGGCTGCAACGACAGTCTCAAATTTCCGAGTTGCCTCGCCAAGATACAAATCATTTCATTAAATCTTTGGTAGCAGCATTGGAAAATACACAACGATATCGTCACGGCCTCTTTAATCTCATTGCATTTCATTTGAGCAACATGTATTTCCAGGAAAATGCCCATTTCAACTGGGGCTAAAAAGAGGCTCAGAATTTTCACTATTTATATACTCATCACAAGGGAAAGGATATAAAAACGCCATGGCTGCTTCTGGATACCTACCAAGCCACGCCAAGATACATTTTATTTCGTTAATTTTGGTAAACACTTAAGAGAAATATATAAAACCATTCATCACAGCCTCTTATTTATTAAAACTATTCCAGCTTCATAGATGAAATAAACCATGGCTGCAAAAATATGATGAAATCACTTAATTACAAGTTTAGAAATTCATTAGAGAAAATATAGGAAACTTATCATCACAGCCTCTTTGTTCATTTCATTTCACTCTCAAACTTCAATATCACTATGGCTGCAACGAGTGGGTTTAATTCCATGTTGCCCCACCAAGATATGGATGTAAAACCAAGGAATGAATTACACTCAAAAACACTCAACATGTTACCTACCAGGAATGACAAGTATGCATTACAAATGGATGAATCCAAAATAGTCAAATCTTTCCGTGGATGTCCCCAATTACAATATGATTCCATTCATGCACCTCAAAATTCAATTAGACTCCAAATATTAATACCCTTCCTTTCTTACACACTTCACCACCTCATAAAGCCCCTATATTAGTTTTAAATCCCTCCTTGCCCTTTCATAGAACAGCCCTATCAGTTTTCATAATATGCCAGCCCTTTAAGTCTCTCCAACATCTCTATTCCATAATACTCTACACATATTTTCTAAAGCTTCACGAGAAATGAAGCACTCATATTCGATTGACAAAGAGCAAGGAAAAAGAAAGGGGCTCCATAGCAACATATGTAAACACATATTTTCTTTAAGAATTTATTTATTCATATATATTTTTTTCAATTAAACATATTTCTAAATATTTTGAAAATATTAATAACAAAATCAGGGATGCATTAGCTTCGAAAAACATCCCAACATACAATGATTTTTAACAGTTAAAAAGGCATAAATAATTACTAAGATTAATGTTTTGTTATTGAGGAAAAATATTTTAAGGGCAAGATTTTTGTGTAAATGTGCATAGTCACTTATAGAACATACAAGTTATTTACTACCAATAAGATCTGATTTGCTTCACTTCAATGCAAATAGTAACAACTTACTTCTACACACTTCATTACATAAAAAATACATTTATTTAAACGAATAGGATAAAAGATACATTTATTTAAACCAGAAGATTTTTTTAAATAAAAAAAATAAAAAATAAAAAATACATTTATTTAAACGAATAGGATAAAAAAATTATTTAAAATTTATGTCCCAGCCCAAAAAAATATAGAAGGGCATCATATACAAGTTAATTAGTTTATAGCAGAAAGAATAGAGAAAAAAGGCAGTTTAAGAAAGCCAAAGTATTTTCGAAGCCAATGTAAAATTATAGTGTCAAGATTGGGTTACGTTTTCAACAAAAAAATCATACAGTGAAATCTATGAAGAAATATTCTAGAAATAAAAATCATGCATGTTAATTGAATCAATATTATACCTTTTTCGAGGCAAAACAAATGGTCATAGATCGGAGCCCCCCTTTGTACAGACTTTAAAGATCAAAATTGAAACTTTTCGGATCTTGAGGCAGAGGTGTA